CACACACTGCTGGCGGCTGATTGTGTGTGTGTCAACTTCTGAACTGATAACACACACACACACACACACAGAGAGAGAGAGAGAGAGAGAGAGAGAGAGAGAGAGAGAGAGAGAGAGAGAGACTTTATTTTATTATATATATATGGCAATGTATGTTAATTACATATGACACATAACCCGTCATCAAATTACACGAAAACGGCCTTTACACACGCGCGTGTGTGTTTTCAACAGGTGTACATGTGTGTGTTCGGATTTAGATATAACTGAACACGCGATGATGACCGCAGATCACAGAAGATGTACTGATATATGGGATGTTTCGCCATGGGTTACTGTTAAAACACACAGAAGAGCTGCTGCATTCCCCAATGAACTAACCGTGATGCGCTGAACTGACCAGAACGCGCAGCGTCTACAGTGAAGCTGAGCTCATCATGATGCAGCGGTGTGCGAGAGAGCATCACCGGTATTAAACAAGCAAACCGGGAATAACAGCAGCAGAGAAATGAGCAGGAGTCTGTAGATCAGCACACACTCTGCGTCTGGGACACGCGTGATTGGACACAAGAGTTTTTCATAACAGCACACACACACACACACACACACACACACACACACACACACACACACCTGCTGCAGCGTGTTTGTCCGGTCATCTCTGCGCTCGGGCTGCGCAGGACTGCGGCCACTGTGCGCTGCTGCTCGGATTTCACAAACTTCTGCGGTTTAAAACATTCCTGCGGGGATTTCAGGAGCTTTAAAACGCGCACACGCGAACAAACACGCATATAAAGACCCGCACGGAGACCCTGCAGAGCTCAGCGCCGCGAAGATGGCTTCTTACCCGTTACCGGAGGGCTTCACCGACTTCGACATGTTCGCCTTCGGGTCTGCGCTGCTGGTGGGCGGTGAGTGATGCGGATCTGCCAATCAATAATCAATAACTCATGCGTGCTTATGAATGTGTCGATCATAACTCCACTGTTAGACCATACTTTAGTAAAGTTTTATTACAGCTGATGCTGGTCTCCTCATAGACACTCTTCAGTAGTAAACACCAGTGTTTCTCAACCACACTGCCTGGAGTAAAGTCTATCGTACTGTAGATTCTAGTGTTCATTCTCCTGCATAGTGTACTGTTACCTGCAGTGGCGGTTCTAGACCAGTCCACTTGTACTTTTAGGGGGTATTTTAACATTCACAACACAACTTAAACAACGATTGACAGTCACTTTTATTTCATGCATCCCTCTGCAGTCTTCATAAACAAGATAATTAAATAACTTAAACTCAAAATAATCTTCATGTTCATTCATTTGAAAGTCACTCTGTGCTGTAGGAGAACACATTGTTCACATTCACGTACATCACGGCACATTTCAGCAGCTGTGAACTCTACCAGATGCAGCTGAAGTTGAGTGATCTTTAGCAAACCCGAGAGATGTTCACAGTATTTCCTAAAAAACACAAATCATTCTTCCGGACTCTTCATTCGTCTGTCTTAGAGTTTGTCTGAATAAAAGCAGTTTCTCGTTTTTTTAGAGAGCATTGTTACGGTCAGCATTATCAGCCTCTTTAAGAAATATTTACTGTGTATTTTTTGATTGTGTATGTAACGGAGGCCAGTACAGGTAAACCTCACTCCTCTGACCTCTAAAGCTGCTCTAGCGACAGATGCTAGGGGCCATGGTCTTTAGCCTCCTTGTTAGAGCAACCGACTCCCATGGGGAAGGACAGCGGTTCGAAACCAGCTCGGAGCGGGTTGGGTGGCGTAGGACAGGCGGGTTTACATCTACACAACAAACCAGTTACACAATAACTGGACTAATTCAAACTGTCCGAGTTAAGTTACCCTAGTGAAGTCTTTAAATGACACTTTAATCTGAACACAGCTGTCTGGCACAATAACTGGTTAAACATTACATACTGACTGCCATCATGGGGAAGACAAAGATGAAGCTTTCAGAAATGAGTGGAACTACTGTGTTTAAAAGCGTATCGTGACTGAACACTAACATCTGATCACTGTGTTACGGCTGTTCTCCAGTACTTGCTGACTGTTTATAAATTCAGGACCGCATTTGTGCGTGTAAAACTGGACACTCAGTTTCTGATTAATAATCGCCTCTGCAGAGCCGAGAGCTTCCTATACTGTATCTGCACATGCATGGATTTGCTCTTCAGTGTTTGGACTCTCAGTAGAGATTATTCAAGCACACTTGAACTGAACTGAACTGAACTACACTGTTTACATTTACGATGATCTTTTATGTGAAGCTGCTTTGACACAATCTACATTGTTAAAGTGTTATACAAATAAAGCTGAATGAATTGAATATTAAAGATTTTAAAATGGCTATTTAAACAGAAGCCTAATATAATCAACAGTGGACAATTTAATAGTTTTCCACAACATGAACGTGACTGAAGGGGAGTTTTTGTCATGACCTGTTTTAATTTGGGGCTTAACTTCTGTCAAATGTGGGAAACTGATGCGCGCAGCACCGTCACTGACAACAGTCACAGGAAAGCAGAGCGAGAGAGGCCTGTCATATCTCCATCTGCCACCGATGGCTTTTATTTGATAGGAAAGACACACTGAGATTAAAAATCTTTTTTACAAGAGTGTCCTGGCCAAGTCACATTGCTGCATTACTGTAGCAGTAGTGCTTTACTGTGGTAAGCAGGTGAATTACAGTGCTGTGCTGTAGTATGGGTCAGACATGGTAAAGAAGTATGGTAAAGAAACACTGAACACAGTGAAGAGCCGTCAGCTGAATATCTGTAATGCAGAGACACACACACATGCGGAAATAACCCAGTACATCCTGCAGTGTGTGTGTGTGTGTGTGTGTGTGTGTGTGTGTGTCTCTCTGCATTACAGATATTCAGCTGACGGCTCTTCACTGTGTTCAGTGTTTCTTTACCTCAGGGTTGTTGTCTCCTGCGCTGATGTGCTGGTTCTGAAGGTCTGCTTGTGTTTCAGGTCTTCTGGGGTTTTTCCTGAACGCGATCTCGGTTCTGGCGTTCCTCAGGGTTCGAGAGATGCAGACGCCCAATAACTTCTTCATCTTTAACCTGGCCGTGGCCGACCTGAGCCTCAACATCAACGGCCTAGTGGCAGCGTACGCCTGTTACCTGCGGTCAGAACCACTGCGCACCATTACAGCAAGCACTCTGTGTGTGTGTGTGTGTGTGTGTGTGTGTGTGTGTGTGTGTGAGAGAGAGAGAGAGAGAGAGAGAGAAAACATTCTACACAATATATCAAAGACATAATAGTTGCTTACCTATATAAGCAGTGTGTGTGTGTGAGTGTGTGTGTGTGTGTGTGTGTCAGTGTGTGTGTCAGTGTGTTATATATCTATAAACTATGTTGCGTCAAAATTCATCTACTATTCATCCTAAATAATATATGAAAATAGGGTTAGTTAGTGATTATGTCCAAAACCATGTGTTGATAAGAGTAGGCTCCTTATAGAGTAGAAGCGTCCGCTGATATTACCCACAGTGCATTGCGCATTGGACGTGAATTCGATTTAGAACTACAAATCCGGGTGAAAAGTGTAAATAAACTACAAACATGGTGGACGAGCAAGACCAATCGTTAAGCAGAGAGACTGGGGTAAAGCTGTTAGTATGACTGTTCATTAATATGGAGCCACTGGAACATGTTTAGACCGCGTGTTCTGTGTTCTGTGTTCTGTGTTCTGTGTTATCTGTAAACACAATACTGAGCTTCTATAAAGATGTGTTTGGACATTACCGTCTGAATGCAGAATTACCCAGACACTGGAACATGTCTCTGCATGACAGACTGGTGGAGGGCAGATTATCCGGCTCCAGTAGCGCAGGACACTGAACATGACAGCAGTGTGGATGATGGACAGGGCTCATCACCAAACAACACACCGCTCTGTTCATGAGGAAGTCGTGTGTGCCAAAGCTTGAACACTCTTCTGTTACACACTCAACAGTATGTAGTATTCCTTCACAAAACAAGTACACACTTTTAGGGTGTAGTATAAGTGTGTGAATCGGGACGCGGCACTAGAGTCTCTGAAACACAGCAGCAGATTCCCCTCAGCAGATCTGATATCAGCCTCTACAGCTGCTGTTCCTCACTGTAACGATGCGTCTGTCCTCCTCATACTGCCGCCTCTCCGCAGATCCACTGACCAATCAAGGGCTCTAGATGTGTGTGTGTGTGTTGATGTACATTAGTGTATAGTGTTTGTGTGTATATGCCTGCGTGTGTGTATGGATGGGTTTTAGTGTGTATAGGTCAGCATTTGTGTGTATAGATGAATATATAGAAGTGTGTGTGTGTGTGTGTGTGTGTGTGTGTGTGTGTGTGTGTACAGGCACTGGCCCTTCGGCTCTGAGGGCTGTCAGCTTCATGCATTTCAGGGGATGGTGTCGATTCTGGCCGCCATCAGTTTCCTGGGCGCAGTGGCCTGGGACCGATACCACCAGTACTGCACCAGTGAGTATCTCTGCTGGGTCAGTGTGTGTTCTGCTGGGTCAGTGTGTGTTCTGCTTCTGAGTTTTTGGAGTGTGTTTCAGAGCAGAAGATGTTCTGGAGCACGTCTATCACCATCAGCTGCCTCATCTGGATCCTGGCTGTGTTCTGGGCTGCGATGCCGCTGCCTGCCATTGGCTGGGGTGTGTTCGACTTCGAGCCGCTGAGGACATGCTGCACTCTGGACTACAGTCAGGGCGACAGGTAAACACTGATCTCACATCAGCCCAGAACACCTGCCGACCTGCTCACCTGTGTGTGTGTGTGTGTGTGTGTGTCAGTGTGTGTGTCAGTGTGTTATATATCTATAAACTATGTTGCGTCAAAATTCATCTACTATTCATCCTAAATAATATATGAAAATAGGGTTAGTTAGTGATTATGTCCAAAACCATGTGTTGATAAGAGTAGGCTCCTTATAGAGTAGAAGCGTCCGCTGATATTACCCACAGTGCATTGCGCATTGGACGTGAATTCGATTTAGAACTACAAATCCGGGTGAAAAGTGTAAATAAACTACAAACATGGTGGACGAGCAAGACCAATCGTTAAGCAGAGAGGCTGGGGTAAAGCTGTTAGTATGAC